CAACTCGAGGACGGTGCGAACGGTCGGAACGATGACGGTAGAGATTAAAATCAGTTGTGACCTGGGAGTTTTTAGCAGCTGCTCCCTGGAACTTTGTCTCGCTGCCTTGATTCGTGGGGTGGCCGGGATCGACTCAGTTCGACGGTCAGGAGTATCTTTAATTCTGGCCGACGACGAGGCCCACAAGCAAGAAGCAGACGGTTGCTGGCGAGTTTGTCGTCCGAGTCGTCAGAATGATGGGATGGAAAGTTTGATGTGTGAGAAAAGAGAGGGAAGAGAAGAGCCGGGCCGCGCCCAGAGAAGGGGAGAAGCCAGTTGTGTGGATTGCTGAGAGTGGGCTAGTTTAGGACGTGGGAGCCTATGGCAGCGCTGGAGAGGGCATTTGGCAGATTGGGCGATAGCACGAGTGCAAAGGACATGGGATTGGCCCGAGCGAAATCAACCGGGGGGGTTAGTTAGTACGGGGAGGCACGGGGGGGAAGCAGGCAGAGCAGGGTGGAGATGATTGCATCGGGTTCCCTACCTGTGGGTCGAGTTTCACCAATGAGATATAGTATCCTCCCACCCTAAGTGGGTTCTAAGCCCCACCATATTACCCACTACCCTCCCATGGCCTGTCCCTGTCTGGGAAGTCATTGCCCACACTGTAACCGTTAAGCAGGTTAAGCAGCACCCGTCCCAGAAATTCCAAGGACAGGGGTGCCTGGAACATTCTGACCAAGCGGCTTGTATAAGAATGGAAGGTCCTCCACTCAATTTCAACCCGGCAGCAAATCCCCGAATGGATTTATTCAACAAAGCCAAGAACCTCACGTTAAGCCCAGTCCCGTCTCCTTGGACCGGAGACGGTGCTAGTACGTAATTTTCTGTACTGTGTAAAATTACATGTCGCTTCTTACATAGACGTGCAGAACCGTGCAGGTTCCGCGGCGATGCAGTGTATAAACCGGTGGAGTCGCAGCGCCGCAGCAACGCAACCGGCCAACCAGCGGGTCTACCACGAGCCAGGATTTTCCATCGTCTGAAGTTTTTCAGAACGGTTCGCGTTTTAAAAAGAGGCATGTCTTGCAAAAATTTTCGGCCACTTCAGAGAGGCGCCAAAATAACGGACCTAGTTCCCCCATTCCCGTAACCGCGGGTAGAGCCGACATTTGCAGGTGTACGCGCGTGGAGCACTAAACAGCAGATCAGGCCTTTAGGCGATGCCAAATACATAGTATAGCACACTACCATGTTCCCGTCGGCTAGCGCATACTACATATGAGGTAGGTATGTACAATACATACATAGACGCGTGCTTCGCATCTATTGACTCGAGGAATGTCTGGTCGTTTGCCTACGTGGATGTATCTAAGCGGAAGAAAAAGAAAAGGCATGGTTATTGGCACTTTTTCATAGCACTACGACTGATCAGGAGAAAAGATGGCATTTGACGAGACATGATTTTCTTTTTTTTTTTTTTTTTTACGACTCAATTTTTCGCAATCAGTACGAATTACCTTAGGTAATATTTAGCGATCTTCCTCATGGTTGTTTGGGAACTAAGTCGTGGCCGAAATGATAAGTCCGACCGATCGTTTAAAACCATTATTTAGAGCCAACGTACATCCATTCTTGTACGTGTTAGGTACCTACATATATACCTAATTACCCAAGTGCTTAATTTCGTACATAATAATGCCCCTCAACCAACAGCAGAGGTTTAAATAGCCTCTATTCCTCTTTCGTATTAGCTACCTTCTCTTTGGTATCGTAGATCGCAAAAATATATTAGATGTAATATACCTGGGTATCATGCATGAAATCAGTGGCATTACCACATGGGCTTCAGCGCATTGCGGGTAGAAACCGAATGTTCTTATCTTTTCGCCGAAATCTTTATCTTCCTGTACGAAGTATGTATGGTATCTATATTCTCCATGTTCTTAATAAGACCGAGTGAATGACGTTAAATGATCCTTTGTTCCAAATATGGAACTCAGGTATGCTCCAAACCTGCATACCGAGTCGCTTATTAGTACGTAAACTTTTACGCTAGTGTAATATCTGCTAATAATAAGGGTGGTTTGCTACGATAGTTAGGTACGTACCAGAGCTAAAGCTGGGTGCCGTTTAGTGGCTTGTTCTCAGAAGTAACGAATGATGATACTAAAGTAGGCTTAAGTCGACCCCTACTTTATTTAGATGCTGCGCCGTTGAAAGCTTCGGAGTTCTTACCGAGATCATATTCTGTCCCCATTAAGAGTAAATGACAAGATGTTAATCGACGACGTTCCTACCAAGAGCAAAATTTGGTTCTACACTACCTATTCATAAGCTCGCTAAAGACGATTAATACACTACTACACTAGTACAATCGACTTAATAAGTTGCATACATAATCGTGGACATTTCCACTAGTTACATACTGTAACCAACAGTAACCACTCACAGCACTTAGAATAATTTACGGACCCAGATACCCGGGATACCAATCATCATCCACTCGACCCCATCGGCGCAAACGTGCTTAAGACCGAAGATCAGAAACGAGGACTGAGTGGATCTATATCATCTGATACGTCAATTGGCCTATGCGCTGCGTATCTCCATGGCTCCATGGAGTCAAGAATTTAAGATTTCCACGGGCGTTGGAACCGAGTCTTACTACAGATCCGTACATACGCGAAGCTCCCATGTCCACGTTGACATTGACAAGCGGCACCTAGAAATAAACTCAGCACCATAGCTTGCCTGGTTGTCAAGATGAGATGACGTGCTGCCCCGTTGCTGGCTCCTCCACTGCTTACGGTCACTACATACGTAAGGTTTAACTTTGTCCAAGTCGGGGTAGCGATTCTCAAGCCCGGGACGGGTCAATTTATGAAAATGGGCTCATCTTAGGGGCAGAGTCCTAGGGCAGAGGGGTTAGTTGGGACCGAAGCTACGTCTAACATCGTGATAGGTCATATATAAGTCATTGCATATAATATGCAGCATATTATAGTAGCTATAGTAGCACAAGTACGGCCGAAACCCTGTCGGCCCTTTGCTCTGGGAATACATAGTGCATACTGACTCGACAGGAACCTGTTCCCAATTAGCGGACCTGCGAAAGTACGTGGTACTATTTATGATCCATTATTCTTTACCAATGTGTAATAACACAGCCTACCCCTACATAAAGCCCTACATAAAGAAACCCGACCTAACGGCACCGGTTGCCCCAAGCAGCCCAAGGAATGTATAACGTTTACAAGGGCCTTTTAGTTCGTTGGACAGCAGCGACTACTTCTCGACGACTAGGACAAAAAGAACCACCAACGTCCAGATATACCTAATCTAGGTACCTAACATTATAAGCTGAGTTATTATTATTACCTACATGTCCCAACCCGCCACCGCTAATAAACTAACCTAGGCATATTCACCAGGTCGTTCCAGTCCACGTGTATGTCTTGGGGCAACATCGTTTACACTTTCCCTGCCTCTCGCGCGCGCGTAGCCAAGCCAGTGGCCAGCCGCGGGGTCGTCTACCGCATACGTGTCGAATGGATTTATGACGCGGTTATTGACACCAACTCCCGCCGTCATTCATGGTAAATTGTTAGTGATAGTGTCATGGTAGGTTAGTAAGTAGAGCGGTCTAGAAGCGCATTTTCATATTACGAGTCACTCTACAACGACATCATGAGAACTTTATCTATATATTCCCGAGTTCCCGATGGTGGCTAGGCAATCTGCTGTCCGTGCTCCTGACTGTATAGTACAACTCATCTACCCTCGAGCCAGGTATGTTGAGAGGGTAACTAATAATTACAAACGGTCGAGAAGCCGTACTAAACTTATGTGTACCTGGGTATGGATTCGATTTTACCAGTATGACTCCGAGATGCGTGAAACCTATCCCGGCTGCCTACATAAGGATATTCTATTAAGGAATACGACCGGCAAGGTAACCGTGACTACTAGTTAGGTAGGTAGGTCTTTTGTTATCTGCTGTGTAGCCTTGTTCGTGCCATTTTGAAGAAACAGAGGCTATTACCTACATAGTAGAGGGTCATCAATTGTCTTAAGCTGTCTTACTCGATAAAAAGGGATCCTCCTAATAGTTAACCAACTATGGAAATCCACGGCGTAGTTCTTAATACGCCACCGCGTGAGCACTTCACGAGGGGAGTCGATCCTCGATCTTTCGGCGATGCTTGAAATTAGGCTAAGAGAGAAACAATGTGGTATATCCCGCTTTTGTGAACAACAACAACATATGATACATATACCGAAGCCCGGCATCGGTTGCGGCACTCCTAATACCAGCTCTGTGTCCAAATCACTCCGTCTGAAGTCCGAGATGCGGCACGGCCGGTCACACTAGATCGATTCCCATGTATACATAAATTACATACCGCATCCAAAGATAAACTTGACTTGATTCTAGAAGTAGCAGAGTATTCTCAAGATACGTAAGTATCATAAGTGGCGCTTCTAGACAGTCAGTCAGACAATACACCCTCATTTCCAGCCAGCCAGCCAGCCAGCCACGCCTCGATCCACACAGGCAAGCAAATCCAAAGCCAAAGCAAATTCTTCATTTGCTTTTCGCACCCAACCAAAAGGTCGAGACCCCGGTTATCTGCGTCGCTCAAGTTACACGGCTTTCTCAGTAGCCGAAACCAAGTTTGTCACACTGGGCCTGGTGATCAAACAATGCTCTTTAATCGCCAGAGTTTTTATTTTTTTTTTTTCAACCTAGGTATGTACATACCTAACAGCAAGCAAGCAAACTTGACTAGGTAGGAACAACAACAGCAACAACAACAAAGCCCATTCATTTTATGATACGTCGGGTCACAAATATGTAGCTTGTTTGCAGCAGCAGCGGCAAGGCAAAACAATAGTGTCATATTATATTATATCATGTCATGTCATGTCATATTTAGGACACGGGACGTCTCCCTTCCAAAGCCACCAACACGCGCTATCGCAGGCCTATGAGATATCAAGCGGCTAGCACCCGGTACCGAGAAGTGCGCGTATCCGGAATAATTTTCGGTGCTCGACATCCGCATGCCGGGCCCCATACTCCCTTCCTTACAAGCCCATATTACGGCTCCCCTCCCCTTCCTTACAAGCCCATATTACGGCTCCCCTCCCCTTCCCTCTCCACCATGGTGGTCTGCCCTCTCAGCTTGTCCTACACCTGCACCTACACCCACACCCTCACCCACCCCTTTACTATCCCATCCCATCCTCGTCCTCACCCTGTCCCGCAGCCGTCGGCGGTCCTTCCCTCTCTGCCTGTAGCTACTCCTCGACAGCGGGCGCAGCTGCTGCGGCCACTCGAAGACTGGTTCGAGCCAGCGCTCGGACACGCCCGAGGACGTCGCTCGCCCGTGCCGGCACAGGATGTACTGCCAGGAGTGGGCGAACACGCAGACTAGCGCGAGCAGCAGCACCACGCAGACGATGGCCACGGCCATGGCGGTGATGAATGCTTTGGGGAAGTCCTCTGGTACGGGGGTGTCGCTTTCGCCTAGGCCTTGCGCATGGCATGGTGCCGTGTAGAGGAGGAGGAGGAGGATGGAAGGGATGGTGGTGATGATGATGGAGACTAGGGATGCCATCATTATGATACGTCAGAAATGGGCGTCTGTCGGCACGAATGAACTGGGTATTGGCATTATTTGACAATACTAGGACGGCAACTTCGAATCCTCAAGCACAAGTGTGCGCAAGAGTGAAGATCATCTAGGTAAAATGACGATGATAACGAATTCGTCAACGTTCAGTGGGTATAGATGATTAGGTGGTAAGTCACCGCTTCGAGCGCGGCACTACGGGACTACCTGCCATTCATAAAGTAAGGCAACTATTCACACTTGGACCAAACTTAGATGCTTCATAGAATCATCATATTTTGTTACCTCGTGTTTACCTAGCATCTCTCCTGTCGACCACGGCGGATACGAGGCAAGAAACAGGATATGGCAAACTTAAATCGGATACCGGGTATGCAACTTGGGGTTGGCAAAGGTAGGTAAGTAAGTTTGAACTTATGTGAGTCTATTCGCTTGTCTCTCTTACTTACAACCAAGGATTTCTTAAACGCCGGGATCTACGTATCTGGTGTCGATGACTCTCTCATCTATATTTAGAACTTCCATGCTACTCATACTTTTTACATGGGTGATGGGTAGCACTTGTCGAAACTATACGTAATATATACTCAGAGTAGAAATGTAATGTTATAGATTATGTTAGATTGTTAGTATGATAATAACTACCATACTAAGGACTCGTATTTAAAAGCAGGCAAGCAATGATTTTCGCTCCTTAGCTAGGGAGAGTAGTTCCCAAGTCTACAAGTTCTCTCTCCTTGAAACCTATGTGATTTAACCATTCGATCGGTTAGTAGGCGTATGCTTATATTCAACGGCTAAACACGCGGCTACATGCGTAGGAAAGACGTCGGTCTCGTTAGTAAGCACCTAAATATGGCGTCGGGCAGAGCACAAGATAATGAAATATTTTCGTTCATATGAAAAATTGCGTGCCGACACTACCCGCTATTCTACATATCGAGCGGCGAGAAGGAAAAAAATAAAAATAAAAACAGCTTCAAAGAGACTGACCTGTTGGTGTCTTTTATTTAGTCGGGGCCAGCTAATATCGACAGACGAAAAAAAAAATCTGCAAAAAGACAAAAAGTTTATTGCATGTTCCTTGATAAGACGGGGATTCGAACCCCGGCCCCTTTCGGGAGTAGGATTCTCATTGGATGAGATAAGAGTCAGACTCTTGAATCTACCGCCATAGACCGCTCGGCCATCTTACCATTTCTTGGAAGGTGCAGGAGGCTTAGTGCCTCGGTTGAAGTTCTTGCTTAGATTTTGCACTTATATTCTAGTAATGTCTGGTGGTGCGCAAAGCTAAACTTGCCCCGCAGACTAGGTATGTAGTGCGGGGCTGCGCAATTCTCCGAGTCTAACCCGATATGCCGCCGGATGCTACTAGTACTATGTACACTCATTTTGCCATCGAGTTACTTTTAATAATGTTGAGTATCGTCCTACAGTGTTCAAGTAGCCACAAGTCGAACCCTACGATATCTAAACATATACATTACAAAATAATTTAATCCAAGACGATCTACTCTAGGTTTTTTCCAAGTTCGCTTACAGATGAGTATTGCTCTCAGACCTAAACTGGATCTCCCAGGATAGCATGTCATGTTTAAGCTTGGGATCTTTATCTATAAAGATCATATAAACTCTATAGGGGATAATCACGAAGCTGTCATATCGTAGTGTTATATCGTATCGTTCGTTCGAGAGTATGTATGCTCTTGCTATAATTAACTCGGCAGATTCGGTAGATGTTGAGTATTAGTTGGTTTATTTCTACTTTGACGTTTTAGTGATTTTATGAAGGTGATTTAAATAGACATATATATATTAAAAAGGGTATCGGGAAGTTCTCTACATAGAGAAATATCAACTTGTGGGAAAGTTCATAGGCCTAGTTGAGCCTTGAAAATTATCCGTTCATCATCGAAGTATGCTTTGGCGATGTGATTCAAGCGCTTATGCTCTCCATTGATAATATCTAGCTATCATTACCATCTTATCCCTTTAACGTTTGATATCCCCGTCATAGGTACTGCACTGTGAACACTCTCTCCACGTATTCCCCGAACCTACTACCATACAACCGCAAAAACAATCTCCAGCACCGAGAAACCATCCCATACACTACATACGCCCACCCGCTGACTCCGCAATTCTACATCCCCAATCCGTATATACATAGTATGTACTCATCCAGACCCGCAACACTAAGCGATATAGTATAACCCTAAACGCCACTAGCCACGAAACCACACCCACCACCCACAGCCAAAATATAATCCATCATACGGCTTCAATCTTCCATCGGCGGGGATAGCTCAGTTGGGAGAGCGTCAGACTGAAGTCCAACTTCATTCTAACATCTGAAGGTCGTGCGTTCGATCCGCACTCACCGCAACTTCTCTTTTTTGCCTCCTTCGAGGGTGACGGGTGACTTATATTTTTGGTGGAGGATTGTGGACTGAAGTTTACGAGTTCAATTCACACTCACCATATTTATTTTTCACTTCCTCAGTCGCCTTTTTATATAGGTAGTCACCTTGGGGAGTCCCTAGATACTATATATATTAGGACTCTGGCTTCTGTATACGTAGGTAGACATCGCGGCTATCGTGAGACAAGTAATCCGGTCTTCATATCTACTTCATACCTACGACATCTTGATGCGTAACATACCATAGGAAACCACACCATGCCATCTCGCCGTACATCTATCTATCTTTGGTTTGTAGAAGTTGAGTGGTTTATATCCCGAGCCGGATATCAATCAGTGCTGTCCTTGCTCTGGCGGTCATCAAGGGTGAACGTATATATAGCCCTAATCTGATAGAATCTAACACCGGGGTAATGGTGGGCTGTCGTCTCAGGTAGGCTATATATACTTTCTTTAATGGACTCGTGAACGGATGTCGATGCGAAAACTTTTTATTTTTTATTTTCTAGCTTCGAACGCGATGTCTTCCTAGGTACACACACACATACAACTAGGTATCTATGAATCTTATTGATCTAGGTGTGGGCATCTTCGCGGACCCTAAAGTTCATCTCATATCTCATTGCACCGCCCCTTCAGAATGTTATTGAATCGTCTTCATACCATTGCTTAGCGTATCATGAGCATGTGTGGTGCAACAATGTGATAGAGCAACAGTGTAACAATACTATAAATAGATATGAAAACAATAGAACCTCTAGTGAAAGGATCAATAGATACCATATCCACGATTGAAGTTCTCATATGATATAAGACAACACCAAATAATATCCATACCGAACAGCGAAGGGGTATTTATTAATCTCGACTACCACCATTATGCATTAATAGACTGACTACCAAACCCAACCACCCCCAACACCCACACTTATTACTACGAAGGGTATATAAAGTCCATCCATCCATCTTTCCAAACGAGCGAAGGGGTATATAGGTATGTATGTAATATATCATAACAATTCGCAACCGATCCCGCATCCCAATTAATCCAGGTCGTTACGATTCGTCCGTCATTATAGTCGTAAAGAGTGACAGGCCCAGCCTACCATGGTTGACACCAAACGAGGTTAGGTGAGAAAGAGTTTTTTCGAGCGTATCATATGCGCAGGACCGGCCGGGAGACTTGCAAGCGACGTTCAACGCTAGGCGGTCCATGCCGATACATACTTCCATTTATTTTATTTGTCTACGCGGCCTGCTCGCCGACGACGGGTGCCGCGGGGGCGGTAGCCGTCTTCTCGGGGAATTCGCCGGCTTGGGGGACACGGCCGTATCGGGTGAAGGCGATGTTAAGCCTGTTGTAGTCCCACCTTCGGGAAAGGAAGAGGAAGGCGAAGGAGAGGATGGGAACTAGTAGGACGTCCAGAACGCCGAAGAAGATGTACCCGGGGGTCACGCCGATGCGGTTACCGCCGTCAGATAGACCCCAGGCGATCGGGTACAGGAGCCAGAGCAGGTTGATCCATCCCGCAAGAAGGGTGTCTGCGATATAATAGTTAGCAACCACCATTTATAAAGACATAACGAACTATTTCAGGGTATCACTTACGGTCACCGGAAACATTGACGCGCCTGGCGGAAGTTGTGCCGTGGAAGAGGGTGCTGAATGCGAGAAGGACCCATGAGATGGTTCCGAAAGCGTAGAAGCCCCATTTGTAGTTGGTAGTCGTGAAGGCGGAAACAAGGTAAGAGATGACCCTACTATTAGTTAGCACATCTTGAAGACTTATGTATATCCGGCATCATGTAGGTATTCCACTCACCAGGTCCACGCCAGAGCAACGTTGTAAATGATAGTGGCCCAAGAGACGCCGCTCAGGAGGCCGAGGGCGATTGTGACGACGGGGAAGCTAACAGCCCAGTTGACGTACTCAGCCCAGAATATCTGTCGTGTCCACGACGCCGTGGGCTTGTAGTTGGTGACCGGGACAACTTCGTAGGCGAGATCAGAAGCAATGGCGAAGTAGGAGATGGAACCGACAAGGAGGGCGATGGTGAAGAGGTAATGGAAGATCTTCTCGCCAGATCGAGCTACGAAGCTGGTAGCGTAGAAGGTAATGAAAGAGACAACGTAAATAGCCGTCACCGCCCATAACCAGTCGCTGCCGTTCACGCTCAGCTCCTCACTGCCGCTTGGAGGGTTGATCGAGAGAGCCTCGTTCACACGACGGAATATGACACCCATGTCGACGGTCTGTTGTGTTAATATCTATCTATCTACCAGGCAAGCCGGGAATTATTTCGAAATAAGAATCTTCACTTTCAAAGTGAGAAGTGGTGATATACACTAGCCTTTGGATCACGGTAGTTGCTGTGATTCGCTGAGTAGCTGAGGTAGACGAGTCAGAAGACGAAGGGGGACGAGGCTCATAATATACATAGAAGACGGGCCCCCCTGCACTCGCATCTAAGATGGAAAAGCTGTATAGTTGCATCATCGCGAGGGCCGAAGACCAATAATTGGCGATGAGTCAATATCTCAGAGTGAAGCAATACATAGGTTAAAGCCGAGATCCGCACGAAGTATTCCGTCTAGTTAGACGATCATATGATTGCAAATTTTGTACATATGGATGGAAGCTTCCACAAAAGCCGGAAGGGTGCGAGCGACGGATCACGACGGGTTCTATGTAGTGATGCGTTTGTGGCATGGGCTGGGCTGGAGCACATACATACATACATACATTGTTACCCACTCGGAGCTTTGCATAGTCGGAGCCAGGGGCAGAGGCCGATGGAACGAGCGGTAGCAGAACACACCAAAGAAAGAAGTCGACCTGCAATAAAGAGCCTTTGTAATACATACATACATGGTTCTCGAGCCAATATGGTTGACGATCCTTCAGCCCTGATGTGGAGAAAACTACCACGAGAACGTGGCAAGCTTAGCACTACATAGCTTCTGCCGGTGACAATATTTGTCTATCTGTATTGGTAATCATATATCTAGTGTATATAGCTAGGAAATAATAACCCTCATATTCATTTCATAGCGAGGTTAAGAAGAGACGGCGGCTACATAGAGTAATCTTACAAATAACTCTAGAAGCCCGAGGCAACGGATTATTATTTCCATGGTGGAAAAGGTCATGAGGGCGTAACTAACGCCCGGGTATGTATTGTATGGTCAGCAAAGACGGCTCGGTATGTAATGGCGACAAGAAGTCCAACCGACAGACGATGTCAGTAGTGTATGTAAAGCAACGACCGACCATTCGAAGAGCTTTCACGGCAGCATCGGATGAGCTAACACAAGATGCGCGATTCGAAAATAGTGATAGGTCCCCACCGAATGCTCGACCATGTTCTGTCTGGAAGAGGAAATGGGTAACACCAAATAGAGCTACTACATACCTATGTAGCATCGTTGAAAGCAATGCCGGAGCTTGCAGGGGCCCAGCCCTGGCAACCTACAATACATAGGTAGGTACATATGTAAGAGCCTTGAAGCTCCGCACCTCCGACGAAGGCCGGGAAGGCGAGCATAGCATCGAGGTGTCAGTGAAGCGACTGGGCAAATGCATAGTGGCGTCGACTTGACGTGACGTGACGTGATTGTAATTAAAGCTTTTTGATGTGTTACCTATACATATGAAGAATGAGATATTCGAATTATGTATTATCTTGCTACCCACCTCCAGCACCACTTGGGGCTTCCGAGGGGAGTACATAGGTAGTGTATGTAAACGACGGCGTTGGAGAAGCTTCTCATATTTCGATTTACCGATCTCTAAGCCAAGCCAAGCCAAGACAACATCGTCTAGTATGTAGTTGATAGGTCCTCTGGTTCGTCAAGCCCATCATTACTCTGAGCGTCAAGGCGGAAGTAAGTAAGTCTTTGGAGGGGGAGAACGACAAGTTTGGACCATTGAGAGCCTCAATTGCCTGCAGCTCCCCCCCTTCCTCCCCCCCAAAAGCCACCCCCGGCTTTCACGGAAACGCACCACGACGCTATGGATCGAGATGCAACGCTAACCCAGTCTCAGATGGCGATCGACTGTGCAGGTGTCACGCCACCGGGAGCCCACCAGGCGAGGCCTTTTTGTTTCTTCGCTGGGTGGATTTGATGATTTAGCTGGGCAATAGCCGGTAGAAGATTATAGAATGACAAGCTTGTTTAAACGTCCTTCGATGCCTACCAGGCCACGTTAGGCAGATCGGACCATGTTAGAACAATTAGTTACCGTTTTTGTTATTTTGTAAAGTCGATTATCGCTAAGCAACTATTATTAGTCGGCGACTGCCGAACAATCCGGAGTTTCTAACCTTTCAAGTATATATATTACATAACCACCTCCCGGGGCACTTACCTAATATACCTAACTTACCGATGTATAAACGTAGGTATGTACCTTTGAGGTAGTACCTATCACATCTCGATTACGAAATCGAAATTGGCTACTTACCATTTAATAAATTGAATAATACATGCATACTTCCATTCATCACATCCATACATCTATTATATTAGATCCTACTCCGCTGGTATGCGAGCCGTCCAGACGGGTACATACAACAGAATGCAACTCGTAAAGAACAGCAAACATACCTATACTACAACACGGCATCTAATACCGATCTTCTCCAGTCCTAACCATGACATAGTAAATGCAGCTTAGCTTAGCCTAGCCTTCTCCTCATACCTCATTCCCATCCCCTATCCCAAGAAGTATCCTACCCATCCCATCCCCTACACATGTCCAGATCACGTCCTCCCACTCGCCCATCCGTACCTACCTCTCAACCATCTCAACCACAGACAACCCAATGCACAAACGCAGTTGATGAATCATCCCCGCGCTGCTAGACTACCTACCTACCTACGTATCACAAACACTCCAGCAAACCACATCACCACGCACGCCGCCCCCATCATTGGCTCGTATGCCCAGCCCAGCCTTTAGGTAAAGAAGAAGAAGAGATCTCCGCCCGGCGGACATGATCCGGCCATCGCTGCGGTGTAACATCTCATACCTATCCTCCCTAGAGCGCAACGGTATACGATCGGCGGTGTGCTTTGATGGAAAGTGTCGAATCAGATAATACCTAGACACTCGCCCTCTTAAAAACGGGCGGACAAGCAGTGAAATGCCAAGGAGGGGAGGGGGGCTTTTACATAATTACGGCATCGCACGCACGCAGGCTGCGGCCTTGCCTATAGTTTATGTTGATACCCGCTGCTGAACAACTACGGCGTACTCGAGCCGGGCGGGGCCAAATTCGATATCACGTAGTTGTTGAATTATAGAATGCGATACGGTATGATAATATCAACATAGTTCCACTGTTAAAAAGGGGTATGTATGTTATTTATAGACACTTTCTCTCCCCCCCAAAAACGCCGGTACGCCAGCTCCTAAATCCTTTGCATACTACCGAATCCTACACCCTCGCCCGGCCATGTCGTAGAAGCCGTCAAAGGCCGACTTTGATGATACTTTACAAGAGTATTCCATTGATTGCGTGCGCCAAGACAAATTGTTTGGTTACCCCTTATTCATATACAAGTCCTCTCGTATTTGTCGGATAGGGTCGATGAACGCTGTTGCCACATCAAAAGCATTATTCTGTTGAAAATAACCCTACTCTTCATGTCTAATAAGCCGGTTTCATCTGCCATAGCGCTGATTTTGCTCGTTCGCGCACGTCGAGTTCGTCGTCCCCCTCCTTGAGGGCTTCAAGCTTTGTCAAGAATCCCAAATTCTTTAACTCCTGCGCCCGCTGCGAACACCCAGGACCATCGCTGGCATTGTCCTGCCATGTCAAATTATTAATTAGGTGGCATAGAGCAACTCGCACTTCCCTATCTTTGCTCGTAAACAGCTTCTGAAGCTGCCTGAGTAGTTCCGTCTGAGACACTACCAGCTGCCGGTGGCGAGGTATGCTGGCTGCGATGTGAACCAAGATATATATGACTGATACGATGATTTTGGGTTTGGGAGGCGCGATACGCGTCTCGCTGCCTGTACGGTCTCGCCGGCTGAATGGATGAAAAACCTTAGTTCGTAGTTTGGAGGCGAGAATCTCGAACAAACGGTCTTGTCCTAACGTGCTGAATAAAAAGTCGATCATCTCGGTCGTGTCGTTCAGTGAGTCAGCACTATTGCCCGAATGACCTCCACCGATCAGATTGCGGATAAAATCAAGCCCCTGCTCCTGAATCGCTTCGTCATCCCCTCTAGCTTTACGAACGGGGTCCAAATCATTCTCTCGGAGTGCCTCTAATTGTTCCTCTGCGAGCTGTAATATGTGGATATCCGTATGGGCCAAAGCCGCGGGTGACTTGTAGAAGGAAGTTGAAAGCCAGGCGCGGGATTGGTTGTCAGCAAGGCCCATATCTATATCCTCGTCCATGCCATTTAACGTGCTTTGGGCCGCTTCCCTATCGCCCCGCGTCTTCGCCGAGTAAAGCGCCTCGTCTTCAGTGTCGTCGCATATGAGACGGACTAACCATCCGGATTCGAGCTCTTCTACACAACTCTTTTTGAGGTCGATACTTGCTGAATGGACTAGATGCTTGAGCGCCCAGAGGGCATTTAGCCGTAAAGTTGCATTATGCGAATGCGCATGCTCGCATAACGCCTTTACGACCCCAGCATCGACAAGAGACTGTGATAATATAGTTAATATTCACCGAATAGTTTTACTGGGGAACGATAATACCTACTCCTCTCATTGGGCTGAAATCTGTAACAAGGTTACAGGCTGATGCTGCGGCAGCAACCCGCACCTCGACGTCATGATGTTGCAGTAGCTGTAGCAAGGGTGTGGATACGTCGTGATCGACCAAAGCCGTTCTAAGTATATTCACCGAACGAGAGAGTATACGAACCGCGTAACAAGCTGCTAGGACAACTGAAACGGGGTTATCGGGAGTTGGCGTTAGGGAATCGACAATAAGATGAACCACTTCGTGCTCGACAATGGCCTTACGATACTCGTCCTTGAAGGTTGCCAGCGCCCCAATAGCTTTTAGTGCGTTCTCCCTCACCTTGACTCGATGAACTAAAAAACGGTGTTGTCCCTCCTCTCCTAAACAACGGTCGGGAGACACTTCGCCTGCCGAGTCCGAGTTCTTCTTATTAAACGCCCAGGACCACGACTTGGCAAGCGGAGGAGGGGCATCGTAGCTCTCTTTCAGCAACTTGCACACCGTTTTCACTGCGTTGCAGTCGAAGGCTGCCTTCTGTAACGGCTCGCTATCAGTGATAAGACGGGCTAATACGGCGGGCGTTTCTTCTACAACGTTAAGCATCGAGGCAGTATCCCGGCTGCAACTACTGTAATCGATATCCTTTATTTTAGCATCGAATTCGTCGAGCATACCTAGAAGAACAGGTACAACAAGTAGGCCTAAGCTTGGCTCTCTAGTCGTGTAAGAAAATCCAGCTTTGAATAGAGATGTTAAGATAGAAGTAGCCATTAACATTTCGCTACCGCTCTGGGACCTGATTAAGTTGATAAGCCAAGGTATCAAAGGGCTCTCAGCCTTTTCACTCTCGACATCGCTCTTAGAAGCTGAAGCATCCTCGGATGAGCTTCGCGAGGACACAGTACTTTGAAACTTGGATGTCGACTGTCCACCATGACCTAAATCTTCACGAGGTGTGCTCAATGGGATTGGAGTATGGCCAGGAACTTCGGGTAGAATTTGAGGAAGAAGTAGGTCCATAGGCTCAAAATCCATATGTTTTGTAGGCGGCCGTTGTACCCCAGGCAGTTCCATCGGTCCTAAGGGTAATATTGGAGATTTAGTTGGATCGATATTAGCAACAGGAAAGACTGCAAGGATCGAGGGAGAGTAAAGTAGCTTGCAAGCGCGGAACCGAGAGTCGCCAATGATGGAAGCGATCGCACCTAGGACTCCATCTAGACTGCTGGCAGGGGTAGCAGGCGCTGGTATAAAGTCTTCCAAGCCCTCAATACGAGCAATGATCTCGGCCCCCGGAAGGACTTGTCCTTCAGCCACCGCGAAGCTTGCCAGTTTCGTAGCAAGTACATCGAGGATTCCCTTGCTAAGCAATGCTAATTGGTGGCGTTCATCGCGGCAGAGGTCCTTGATTAAATGGGTAACTATGGATATTTGCGCTTCGCTCTCGAAGGTCGGGGTCTTCTGTGAGAGTATATGGTATAGAGAATCTAGATGGCCATCGGCGAATAATGTTTCGGCAAGGGACGTGGATGTGATCGGGGAGGTCGACGGAGCATATGCTGCCGCGGCTGCTATGTCTCGCACAACTCGAAGAGCAGCTAGGACAATCTGGGGATGTCCATTTTGGAGACAGGAACTGTTTAAGACAGCTGGTAGCGCACCGACTGCATGTAGCGGCGAGAGAAATGCTGGTCCAGCTGTAGGGTAAGAAGTGTAAGCTCAAAACTTGCACGAAGAAGTAAGAGTAACCACTTTGAGAAGATACATACCATTTGCAAAGCTAGCAAGAAGCTGTAAAGCTTGTAGCTTTGCGCTGTCTTCGTCCGTAAAAGCCGTTAAGGTCAAGAAAGGCGGCCGGGTATCTTCATTTGCTTTGGGGGTGTTGGGAGTTATGACTCTAACGATAGGTCGGAGAACACCATGTAGAACCCAATCCTCTTTCTTCTGGATATGGCCGATGACTTCATTCTTCAAGTATCGTAGAGCGGTGATCTGTTCCGGCGCACTTGCATCGAGCGCTGCTAATACCGATTGAGGATCAAGCGCCATCGATGATTAATATCTTGTAGTTATCGAGTTCCTTATTAAAGTAAAGTAAAAAAAAGCGAGGATTTAGCCCGCACTATTATGATCCTCTTAGCGGAACAAGATTATCAACGACGAGCTGTTGTCGCGAACGTCGGACGTGTACATCGGTGCATAAAGACATACATAGTAGGTATGTACATGGGACGGGAGGCGGCTACTAAAGCCGATTATAAGATACCGACTTACTATCTTTTAACTAGTGTATTATGTAATTCAACTACGTACTATGTATGACAAGTGGCTACCTACCTACATAAGTCAGCTACACGTACTGCCACTTGTGGCATAGCAGGGCGATAGATGGCGGTCAGCTCATCTTCAAAGAACAACGGCAACTTTCCGCAGGTCTGGCAAGTCGACTCCAGTCCACGAGACTAATCTTTAAAAATTAGCAATATTTTGCTTTATTGCAAGGTATATCCTAATCAAAGCCTTTCACTTATGGATACCGAAATCACGTCATCGGTATAGCCATTGAAATGATTGGGAGTTGCTATAGACAGCTGGCTATAGATATATCATGGTTGATAAAAGTATCGAATGTTTGCAACTTTCGATAATATGGTTCAGAAGACCTATACAAGTAAGTATTGGGATTTGCCTAATAAATAGAAAGTTTACTGAACCATCCTCCTAATAGACCTTTAAACCCTGCTGCTAGAGATATTTTTATAGCTGCAAGAGTAAGTAATGCTCGAAGCTTTTGTATTACTTTCCGTGATGGATAGGATTATTCCGTACCTACATGTCCGATCTGTATGTATCCGTTTTTAAGCCCGTTAGTTGTAATCTGCTAGCCTACCTAAACTAAGCTACCATTAAGCAAGTAACGGAATAGCAATCTATATTCCCTTTTATTCTGATCAGAAACAGCACAAGTGCTGCTTAAGCTAATTCATGTGTATGCATGTCTTGTAACTAAGTAAAACGTGCATGTATAGGATGCATCCGTATACTAGGAAGTGATAAAAAAAGCTAAGTTTACATATGTATGAATCAAACTGCATTTAGGTGCCCTACTACATATGTACCTAAGGCACCTAACCAGACTCAGATCTCAGTCCGGGCTAATTCAATGTTCTAAAAAACTAATGCCGGAATGGGAAGATTTTAGGAAGGGCCTTAGGTAAGAACCTGGATGAAACCGACCTGACCGATAGGGTGGGTCTCCACATGGTCTTTTTTGCCCGAACAAATCAACGCAGCACTTTGAAATTTGCCCTTCTCCTTCTCTGGTGCGTTCTCGGCCTACTACCAACCCTCAATCCCTCAATCATGAGTTCGAGCATGTCCCACCACCGCTTTTTACATAAAGTAGAATTCTCGTCAGCTCTTGGCTGATCGTTATCTAATGAATAATTTCTTGTATAGGTAAAAAATAGACTGTCTACCTACGAGTAAAGCGAATCATTCGATGATATCGCCGTTCCTATGAACGTCCAGATCCGTTGCGGCCCAAACTGCGATTCTTGCGACCCTTGTGACCCCTGCGACAGTACGATCAACGCGGCTGAGACATTATGACGCCTTGGAAAACATGTTAACTTCGTCGCCGTCAATACCAGGAGCTACAAGCGCGTCGCCTAGAACCTTTCACTATGCAACCTCTCGCTCTCCGCAGCAATCACCCAAGATAACGGTACCTTTACCGCGCCGCCAGTCCAGACACTCTCTATCGCGCACCTCGCCTTCGACACCTCTACGATCCCCGTCGCTCTCCAAGCCGAAGCAATATGTTGCAGTTGATGCAGCTACGCAGTACTCACCCATGGAGCCATTCGACCCTACGGTCCCGTTACGGTCCGCCCAAGTATCGGGACCGAGGATATCGAGCTCCACAGCCTCAGCGATAGCGAAGACGACGAGCCAGCCCAAACAGCAACCTACCGCACCAGACAATGCTCCCGGGTCAAGTTCGACACCGAATAGCTCTTCCAAGATCGAGTTCCAAACACTTTCCCCCAATAAGAGACGCAAGTCGCAAGATCCCATAACGATCGACCCGTCTTCATCGGTGGTGGCATTAAGCCAGCCGAGCTCCCCAAAACGGTCAAAACCTAACGAGTGCCCTCCCAAGGTGCTTCCTCTGAGATACGAATTATGTGATAGGGAGGACATGGTAGTCCTAATCTCAAATATGCTGGGGGAGCTTATCGAAACGAATGACTCTATAGCCATGAAAAGTGGCCATCTCACAAGGTTTCATTCTAGGTACGCTGTGACTAGTTCCCATCGCGGTGTTATGGCATTAACTGGGTATACAGGACTGCTCCAGGCATATCAGTATTAGACTATTTGCAACGACTTGCGAAACACGCCACTCTTACCCCTCCTCTCCTCCTGTCTATGGTGTCCTACATTGACCGCCTATGCGAGGATTACCCCGACTTCACTATTAATACCTTGACAGTACACCGGTTCCTCATTACGGCCGCCACGGTTGCGGGCAAGGGTTTATCGGATTCATTTTGGAACAATTCCTTCTATGCACGCGTGGGGGGTGTGAAGGTAGCAGAATTAAAATTACTAGAACTCGATTTTTTAACTCGAGTGGACTGGAGGATAGTCCCAAAACCTGAGTTACTAGAGGCCTACTATAAAGGCTTAGTTGCCCGTTGTGCGGGGTATGTCTTAGAAGGGGACCAGTCATCTTCATCTGACGATGGCGACGAGTCTGAAGAAACAGCAGAAACAGGAACTTCGTAGATTATGAATGGAAGTAAGATACGAGAGAAGTGGGGTACGTGAGATGGACGATGAGGTGGTTCCTGCGGTGAAGTCAAGTAGGTTGCTTGGGACGCTACACGAAGAATATTCGACCTTGGAGTTTTTTCGGGGACATGGGTTGCATTTGACGCCAAGTGCGCGGTGAATGGGTTAGTACGGTTATTTGAATATTAGACGGAACCAAGTTAGCACCGTCGAGCAGAGCCCAGGACATACCCAGCGATTGCAATGTTCATAGCGAAAGAAAGAAATTTAAGAGGATATCAAACCTAAGGGTGGCGTATGGGTTTTACGGTGTCGCGCCCATGTTAACAGTTACCTACCTAAACTAATAAAATGAAATATCCTTTTTTACTATTTAGATCTTTAGCCGGTCTTAATTTTAAATCTTATAGGTAATTCGTTCGGGCGTGATGTAACTCACGTATGTATAATTGTTGAGGCTCAATCAGCCTTATTGTTGATCGGAGCAGGTACGGAAATATGTAATAAGGAACGAAGGGGGGGGCCACGGTACCTGGATCGATTATCTTAGCAGGGCTTAAAATCGGGGAATCAACGGCCGATAATTACGAATTAAGTACATACCTATGAACAACATTCTAGACCAATACCTAGAGCCCCTCCATTCATTAACAACTCTACGACATAATACACCACTCGACTTACCTACCTAAACTTTGCCGAAATACGAAATACAGCCCATGAAGATCTCATCGGTCTTCTCTGGCCTTACGGCCCTAGCCCTGGCCAGCTCAGCCAGCGCCGCCAACCGAACAGCAGCGATATACATCCAACCCGTATCGGAATCACCAGCAGCAGCACCCACGCCTCTGGCCTCGATCCGGTACAACTCCGCGGCCGCCGCGCCCGAAGCAGAAATCGTATCGTACGAAGCACCCGAGCTGCCGGACGAGACTAAGCTGGTGCGCATCGGGGTGTACAACCCGGAGACGAAGCGGTGGGAGTCGTCGACGTCGGTCGCGTCCGCGGATAACTTTGGCAAGGGGTACTCGCCTACGCTGATACTATCCGTGGACCAGAACGGCGACGCGTTTGGCGCGGCGCTTAAGGGGGTTAGGATCGATGCGGGGCTGACGCGGGATTTTGGCCCGCGGGCGGTGTTGCTTGTTACGGAGCCGGGGAAGCAGCCTGAGTTGAACAAGCCGATTGTGCTCTCGCCGGAGGGCAAGACGGTGGTTCCGGAGGAGAAGTCGTTTTTTCAGAAGTGAGTAGTATTATGACCTTGGTCTATCTATGCCTGGCTGTTGGGTTTGCTGGTATTCGTTTGCTAACTGGGTGTTATAGGTACTGGTGGTTGATAGGTATTGTAGTCATGATGACATTGACTGGAGGCGGTGGTGAACAGGGTAAATAATAGATTAACCTAGACAGTTGCATACGGGTTTAATTGAGGGTTTAATTGAGGGTTTAAACGGTTCTTTATCTTCGCGCTATATGATATCTTCTTGTATGCCCGTAGTCTTGACTATGCTTTATACCATCTCATTCGGCTTTCCTGATTCTGCCGTGATCAAAGCTATGTAGCACTGGAAGAGTATACCGGTTTACTTAGTTACCTACATAGGTACCTAGGTAAACTCCATAACTACTAAAGGCCGGTGTGGAACTTGTGCCCATTAGACGTATCAATCTACCAAACACACATCCGTATAGAATTTCACAGGATACTGCTTCAATCACACGTTAGTTAATAGACAAATACGTGTATCTTGTACTCAGGTATTCCGCAACGCAGCGTAGCATCACTTATAGGCGGTAACCACGTTCCCAGTTCCAACTTCCCCATCGTCTAAAAAAGCAATCAGCCAATCGCGTTGGCATAATTGGGAACCACTACCAAAAACGCATTAGCTTGCCTTCTAATCCTGGATTGAGTTCTAGAGCGCAGCTGAAGTTTGCATTTGCACCTAGCAACGTGCACTTGCACAGAGGCAGCAACCAATAAACATAAACCCGCAGGTACCTTTTTCTTTCCTTAGCGGTCTACTTTTTCTACCCTTTCCAACTCACCCATCTGAATCCGATTGCGCTACTCTCGCGACTTCGTTTTCGGCCATTGTTCAATCTCACCCACCGTTTTTTTTTCATCTTAACACCAGTACTCTTACACACTCATATACGTATCCCCCCCCGAACTCAAAGTCACGATGGCTAGCAACAACGGCGTTACCGTCCCCGGAGACGCTTCTGCCCCCAAGGCAGAGGAGATCCAGACCAAGGGCAAGGGCAAGGCGGCCGAGGAGCCGGTCGACACCACTATGGATGAGGACGATGATGATGAGGACGAAGAGGAAGAGGTACGTTCCCTAGCTTTCTAATATTACCATTTCACACCCGTATATACCAGCAATACCGAACTAAGCTAACATTCTCCCAGGGTGAGGGCGGTAAGCTTTTTCCGTGACCAGCAGCATCCCTACCGCATACTCTTACTAACGTAACCCCGTGCAGGCGACGACGACGCCGATGATAACCTAGACGAGATCGATCCCGGTAATATTGTGGAAGGCGGTCGACGTACCCGAGGTCGTGTCATCGACTGGGCCAAGGCAGCTCAGGACAACCCTGCTGAGGACGACGATGACGACGACGAGGATGACTACGAGCCCGCGGTGGAGGAGCACGACGGCGACAAGATGGACGAGGACTAAACTGAGCACACACCGCCTTGCGCCCCGCTTGTGCGCCAGCTAGTTGGATAGGGGGGTCCCAACTGGATTTGAGCGAGCTGCCTACCTGTCAATCAATCACAAAATATCCTCACACATCGTTACTTGCCCCCTCGGTGTCTAGTAGTCTCGTTGCCGGCATCTATCTCTGCTGCTTTGGACGTTCGATCTTGCAAAAACATACACACGCGTTCCAGACGGGAATGGAGTCACTAGTCGAATGCAACATGACTGTAGCTTAGATCTACCCCTACCCCTGACTGGTGGCCTGGCATAAACCCAGGACACGAATATGCGCATGAATACAAGAAAATGAGTATATTGCCACCTTCTGGACCTTCGTAACCACCGCTACTATCGTTACTCATGTACCGGTGAATTGGCTAGGTAGCCATACGTGAAACCAGTAGTTTACCAATCCATCCGCCCCATACCCTTTGGTGAACTAGTCCGTAGTTATTCCTAGCTCAACTGGCAGCATAATGGCTTCAGAAAATAAACATGGTGTGTACTATGGTAAGGTAGTAACTTGAACTGCTATTGTTTCGTCGATGTAGCCTTGCCGCCAAGATATACACGACAATAGAGGAAATATATACTATATACTTCTCGATTTACATACCTTACCTTTGCGGATTTCTCAGTCATGTTGTACATACCTTAACTCCTACGATACATCTAGACTATAGTAGTTATATATAGGTTAGGTACATAATATAGTATTCAATCAAAGCCAAACCGTTGGCGCGAGTCGGTGTAGGTAATTAACGGACAAATTAATTGTCCATCGACTTAAGATCCATTTATACTTGCTCCGAACACCTACCTATCTAATAATATTCCATAGACAATTGCTACAAACTCATCCGGTTGATTTCCTACCTGTGTATGTCTTCCAGTCTATTTTCTTCTAATCTTGTCTTTTAAGAGTGACTTGTGGGGTATATATATGCCTTATATTCAAGCTCACCTACTTTAGGTACACTATGTATGTGCTCGTAAATAAGATATAGATATTCGCCGATACGGCAAAACACCGATCTCTATTATTCCCCGCCAACCAACCCCTTTTATACGGATCCAAATAAGTAAGTTGCCTACTATGTAACCTAGTACATCTTCACGATCAATAGGAAAAAATATGTACCTATGTAATATTACACACTACGTCCTTATACCTTTTCGATATATTCATCTCGTAGCGATATCGGCAAAGGGAATAAAATATTTAATAACAGGAAGTAAAATGACCAATGGACTTTACGGCATTATAGACGCTATCCATTCCATCTACGTATTAACTAAGTTTAACAATGAACAACTAACGGTTAGTCAAATATAAGTCCTAAATATATCAATATATTCAGTGCAATTGATAATCAATAGTTTGATATATACTATAGATTCGCTTATATATCAACCGTAAAATATATACGCTAATCCTCAGTTCGAAGTCCTTCCAGTCCGAACACATCTCTTTTATCAAGACATATATCTATGTCCCCAAACGCCGTTGCTCATGCATCGTAACAAAGTCATGCTGATTCGTCAAATTGCACCCTCAACACCAACCAGGGTATCATCGCTCGTGCGCGTTCCCGAGACACACTTTAATAAGTGTCCTAACTCCTCCATATTCCGTCCAGACTTTATATAAGTTCGATAACCCTTCTCATTCCCTTCATTTATACAGACCGGGCTTACAATAGCCTCGTTCCCGTCTTAGCTTTTTGGGTAATACTCGATAGTGCCGTACTTCCGTTTCCAAAGCCCTCACTAAATATCACCTTGTCCCACCAAAAGCGGCACTCATCCAGTACTCGTTCTGTCAAGTTACCCGTCTGTGCTGGGATGCCCTTGTTCTGGCGTCCGCGGACTCCCATGCGTTCGTCGTTACCCTCGCCAAACAGGGCCACCTTCCCTACGTTTTCCGCGTTATTAGCGGTCGCCGTGTCGTTAACGAACGGGCTAATGAACTTTGGCCACGAGAACCCAACCGTATCGTTCCTATGTGGCCCTGAATTTGGGTCTCCTGTAACCGCAAACCGAGTCCAGAAACCGTTCATAGAATCTGCCATCGTCATAATGCCCGGGTACTTGCTAACGACATCCATGTCGTGAGCTACGATAGGGGCTTCATCGCCATGGTCCGCACCGCCATGAGCGTTCGATCGAGCGGCGTAATGATAAGCGTAGACGGGGTTGGCATCTGCTGCCGTCGAAGCCAAATGTGCTGTCTGCAACACAGGGCAGATATAGGCGTAATGCCCGTATACGTCGTCTAACCTCCAAAACTGCGACCCGAAGCCAGCAGGTGGTTTAGTAACGTACAATTTTTCCCCGAGCGTAGTACTGGGATCGGGGTATAATGAGTCCAGTGTTCCTAGGTCTGTCTTATTGAGGGACGGAACAATAGCAGACATTAATGTGCGCATCGTCGACGAGTTGCTTGAGTGAGTTGGGATGAAGTCAGCGCCTTCGTCTGTATTGAAACCCGTTATTATTGGGATACGTAGAATATGCCCCTTCTCCCAAGACTTGATAGGTAGGTCTGGTATTATACCTCCGGGTCCATCGATAGTAGGTTGGAAGGGCCAACGTATGCTCGGATCCCAGCGCCGGTATACGCTGTGAGATGCAGAAACGACTTTGTCCAGGGGAAGAGCACGGAGCTCTTCGAATATCTTATCGTCAGGAGTGTCATCTAATCCACAGTTCGTCAAGAATTCCTGGAATTGCTGCTCGTGAAGCGGGTGAGTAGGGTTAAAGGTAGCGCGAGCAGTCGATCCACCGGATTCGAGGATCGCTTTTTGGAATGGTACAGGCGCCGATGTCAGCTTATTCGCAGAAGAGTACGATATTAAGTGGTGCCCAATCTTGAGATAATGTTAGTATAAATCATCACAGGTCAAAAGTCACCAAGGCGAGCACTTACCGAATGGGCACCAGCACTTAAACCCATTATTGTAACATTTTTCGGATCACCACCAACGTCAGCTATGTTATCTTGTACCCATTTGAAAAGCGCCTGCTGGTCCTTCAACCCTATATTCAGCAGTCCTTCCTTCGCAGTTACTCCGCTCGGCAGGAAGCCCAAGGCTCCAACCCGGTAGTTGAAGCTTATGCCAATAAGAGGGGTCTCAGACCATGATGCAAATGCCATCATGTTTCTCTCCTGGCCATGTCCAGAATTAAATCCACCGCCATGAACATAGATCACTACCGGTAACTTCGTGCTATTAACGCCAAGCTTTGACATCTCGGCTTCAGCGGTCGCCGGGTCATCGCTGAAATGGGGTCTATAAATATTAAGATTTAGACAATCCTCGCCTTGGTTTTTTCCACCCGTACCCTGGGGGCAGATATGGCCAGCAGTGAGGGCGCGTTGAACATTGCCTGCTGTGCCATTTATTGGCTGTGGAGGTCTGAAGCGATTGTTGCCGGCTGTGGACTGTGCATATGGTATTCCGCGGAACGCTTCGATGCTGCGTGGAAGGCTTGAGCTTTGCGCCACAACCTCGCCAAGATAAGTCCCTTGATTGAGTTGGACTTGGGTTGTTTTCTATTGCATCGTTAGCTCTTGTGTAACAAAGAATATCGATATAGGATTTGGTAGAATGTGAGAAATAGCAGGGTTAATTGAGATGCCAAGTCCGGCAATCTCGGTAGGCTGGTGGCTAAACACAAGATGGGAATGTGGTGGGAGGATACAAAGGGATGTTATTTGACAATTGCAACTTGTGCCAAGCCGATGGATTGTATAATTGTATAAAGTAAGGCATTGTATGTCCCCGTTTCGTACCTTGAATACTTCCTGTAAGTGTCCACTATTCTCCAACCATATGAGAACGGCGAGAAGAACGACAACAATAACAAAAAAGAAAGCGAGGAGGGCCTGGCGAGTCCGACTTGTACGGATCTTAGTTGCTTGAATTCGAAACCACCGTGGTATTTTGGAACCCGAGGTCTTTTTGCTGTCCGAAGTCTCCGGAATTATTGTTTTGGAACTCTCAGTGTCCCCGAGCGAATGTTGGTCCATGGTTTCTTGGCCATGGAGAAGGTCGTCGTGGTGGCTCGGCGGGTAAGAAGGGGGTTTAAGTGGCTCTATGGTAATGATAAAGACATTTTCCTTCTTGGGCTCTGTCATTTGAGACTACCTAAAACTCGGGCAGCTCGGGTTCCCGTTCCTAAAGCTTGACCTTCTCTTCCCACAGGCTGCAGCTACGGATAACTGTGCCGCCTATGACTATGTATGATTGATTATTGCCGGGAGGGCGGATATAGAGGCGGAGCATAAAGGAACCAGTGGAACTTTAGTTGTCCAGGGGTCAGAAAGCTTAATACCTAGGTTGGCGGATTGGCGGCAATAAGAAGAAGATGTATTTCCGTAAATCCTAGATCGCAGACGATAGACGATAGATGATAACTAGACGTTATTTGTAAGTGTGACCTGTACAATGTCTTGGTGGAAAGTAAGGGCGGTTAATGACGAAAGAAGATTCACATCGGTAAATCAGTTAGATCTGTTAGATCAGTCACATCTGTGGGAACAGATGGCTTTTACGGGGTTATTCAAACATTATGTAGGCCCGGGAGGCCCTTTGGTAAGGTGGTGATGATTGTTATCTATTGTGAGTTTGGACCTGCCTAGACTCGGACTGGGGTTAGAAACAAAGCTGCAGGACTTTCCCATACACTAGGTTCAAGTGAATGTTGTACAGATGGTGCCATTTTGGGTACCTGCGAATTCTATGCGCTGGCGGCACCATTTCTCGGTATCTCGGAGGTACATTCCTATGTAAGGCTAGAGTTTATTATGGCAGGTTTAGGTAGCACTTTCTTATTGTTCCATTATTCACCCATTGTCCGTCAGCAATTGAATCTAAGGTTTCCTTCATACAACTTTGATTGCATACCATGTCGTATTACAAGTATGTTCCTAGGTACCTATATTAGGCACTTCCATTTATGGCATCATCGCTATTGGGTCGGTTTCTTTTCTCCAAAGAGTTACACAATTACACCCGCCCCTTTGGTCCTACATACAATGTAAGAAACTTACTTGTATGTCATACCAAAAAGGAGTAAGAACAAGTCGTCTTCTTACAAGTTTAGAAGTGTCACAACCGCAATTGACGACTTCAAACCAAGAGCGACAACTTGACGCCGTCGCATACTAACGACATACGATTATATCATTGCCGATCAAACAAGAATAGCATTATTGGCGATATCAATTGAGCAATTGACAGGATGATCGACGGGGTCTAAACGTGCCTTTCTAGGCCCCCAGGCCCCCACCGTCAATCCCCAAATCCACCTTCGGATCACTTGGCAAAGAGGGTGTCCCGTATTCCTGGGCTGCTAGGCTTGCTTAGGTTGTTCTAGACAGCTAGATCATAGCCGGTTCCTGCCATTCCTGCCATTCCATAGCCTACTCGGTCGAATGGTTGGATGCCAAGCGAAATTAAGCTTCTGAATCCCGACCAACAAGAGATCCTTCCTGCCCTCCATCGCGCCCGTGTTGAAGGATTACGTCGCACCAGCTGAAGACTCTCAGTCAGACTCTACATAACCGCGCAACTTCCTAAAATGGTTCCCTGTGATACTGCAGCTACCGCTACTTCATCGCCATTGCTCCAAACCCTCGATATCTTTTGTGTTGCCGTGATATCTTCGTCCGGATTTCCCTCCACCAGAATTAAGTCGGCCCTAAGACCAGGTGAGACTCGGCCCCGATCTGGGAGACTAAAATGCTGCGCAGCCAACGACGTAGCCGCCCTCAGGGCTTCAACAGGTGATAATCCAGCACGTACGAGCAGCTCTAATTCGTGATGCAATGCTTTCCCGGCCACGACCTTGACGATCCCGCTATTATTCGCATCTGTGCCGGCGAGGATGGGCACACCCGCGTTGCGTATCGCCGTCACGCTATCTAGTGAATACTGGAACTTCCTCCCCCTCAGTCCCGGCATGACCCAACTAGCTGCCCACATAATCCAACTACTGGTCATGGCTTCCATCATCGATAGCGTTGGTACTGTAATCGTCTTCTGGCTGACCATCTTATCAACGATTTTATCATCGAGCGCTTTGTCCATCGGCACGTGGGTAAGCACGTCGAAATCGGCTTGTAGCCCACGTTCGAATGCCAAGTACTGAGCTGTATGAGCAACCGTCATTTTCCCGTGCTTTTTCGCCTCGGCCTGGATTTTATTCAGAACATCTTGTTCGTGGCCTGGGAAATCGGCAATGACCTTGATATAGTCGACCCCTTCGTCAATTCGATTTTGCATAAACTTGGCCACTTCATCGATGTTGTGAACTGCATTATCGGGCGAGACACCACCTAGTTTAAATAGCTTACCGTGTCTAGAGTTCTCCTATTGGCGTCGGCAGGTTAGTAAATGTTACATTATATGATGACAACTACCCAGGTGAGTATATTTGGAAGTAGATAGCGAGCAAGCGACTTATACAAACCGCCCCCAAACCAACATAATTATACCACTCACCTCATACGCGGGGAGACTGGAGCTAAGCCACGTCGTTGGTGTCTTCGCCGCACGTAGCTTTACATATTTCTCCAGCGGAATGCTCCTAGAAACGGAAGCCATTAGTTTCCGTAACCTAGACTATTACAATCCTTCTCTGGCCTATCTCCTATGTACTCACGCCATATCGCAAACTGTCGTGACACCAAAAGACGCACATGAAGCTAACTGCGCCTCGTCGCGGATATGCACGTGGCAGTCGATAAGGCCAGGCAGCAACGTGCATCCCGTGCCATCGACTACAACAGTCCCTGATGGATCTGGGTCGTCAGCAAGTGCGTCGTCGCCAATACGTGACCCCTCGATGACCACGGACTTAGGCCCCGTAACGGTCTCGCCGTCGAAGACGCGGACGTGTTTGATGATAGTCACACCGCCCATTTTTGGAGCGATGGGCTTAAGACAATATATGTAGGTGCCTGGACTAGTATTGTATGTAGTACACGTATCTGCTGACGGGGGAATTCGATAGTTATATGGAACCTTGAATGTATGAGAGTGGGTATACGTATACGAACGGGTATTTATACTCGGGTTTGGAGTCTCGTACGATTCCTAAATCCGATCGGGATCGTCAACTAATAGCAGTCATCGATCTGTATTTGACGTTTTGAAGCTTAATGGAGGCTCTAACAGATGAGCTTAAACGGGGAATAAGTCGTATGGAATCTATGTATATTTCCATCGTGCTATTGGCCTTGGTCTAGAAATCTACAGCAAGTCTGTACGGCGATATCACTGAAGACATGCCTATCCCCTCAACTGACATAAAACAGCAAACCCACTGTTTTCAGTATTGATACATCGAGATTGGCTAAAGAAGATAGACTGGTTCTATATTATTAGATTGGCCAATCATATTTATTATGGAGGTATATTGCAAGGGGTTTTCCTTTTGTCTTAATGAATCGCGTTAAACTTCATGTACTCTACCGAATATCAGGTTTTTGCTGTTTTATGACAGTTAAGGGGATATCACTAGCATCATCCTAGGGGTCAAGCCAGTCTCAAGCACGGGTTAAATATACCAACTACAATACTGATAGCTCGACGTAATGGTCTTAATTAAAAACTCTGCATTATCTTCGATCAATGCGTTAAAGCCAATAATACAACTAGTTGAAAAAAGCCGATACCAACCTAGAAGTCAGCATCGACTACACCTATACACGAATGACTCCCCGGGTAATGCAATAACAAGCCCGCGACACTACCGTTGAACGCCGGGCTTAGTGCTTTTAAAACCCCCCCAACGCACCATGCAAATACGCATATACTAATACACTTCAGTCCCTCCACTGGTATACCCCCTAAACTCTATAGAAACAATATTCCCCTTGCCAATCAATATTTTGTCAGTGACCTTTCAAGCCATAACATCTCGCAGTGAGGCAACAGTCATTCTCTTTCTCGCTTGCTTCGCCGCCCACTCCCGGCTCTTCTGTCGAGATCGTTCAGCGGCTTCTTCTCGTGCTAGTTTAGCTAGTGCTTCCCGCTCTCGTCTCTCACGTTCTCGTTCCCCGGTCCAAGAGTTATCCCGCTTGTAAATCTCCTGGCCACGTAGCCTCTGCTGCTGCATGTCTTCTGTGGACACCGAACTATGCTGCCCACCGGTGCTGTCTACTGTAGAGCTTGAAATACCACGAGGCGGCTGCACTTCGGATGGTTGTGGTTGTAGTCCCCGGCCCCGTAGTTGACATTGGTTGTTCGTCTTTGAAAGAGGAGAGCGTGATGTGGGATTAGTAATCGTAGATGCGCCTTTGTTCCGGCAGGGCGAATTCTGCTGAGTTGAATTTTCCACTAAGTGCACTTTACTTTGCCGAGCCCGGCTCGCGGCTGTCTCGCGGGGAAAGGTACTGGGTGCAGCACTCGATCGGATTGGTCTGGCCTTGAATTCTCTTCTTTTCCGTTCCTCTTCTTCCTGTGCTCGTAGCTGCGCCTCACGCTCTTCGCGCTTGCGACGGGAGATGGCTTCTCCTGGCAACTCGAAGTTAGGCCGTGTTGGAGCCTTAGCTGACTTGGCACGTCGAAGGCTTGATATAGTTGGTTTTGTGGCTTGTTCCGTGGCAGCTTGCATCGACATGCGGGCCTCGCGTTTTTCCTTTAATTTGCGAGCGACTTCATCCCCGGGTAGTTCAAAGGTTGGAACAGTGGGTTTCTTGTTCGACTTGGGTGGCTGCCTTGGTGGTAGGAGACTTGCTATGCCTTTGAAGAACGACCTCTTCGATGAGGCCTGGGTTACAGGTTTATCTTCACTCTTTAATTTTGGGGGATCAAGGAATATCATAGATGCCGACTTGCGAACAGTACGCCGGGGCTCGCTGGTCGAATTTATCTTTATAGAGGTCGAATTACTTATCACTGGAGTAGTTCGCTTCGGTTGCGGTGTTACAGACCTCGTGATTCCGGCGTTCGTCACGGATAGTAATGGTACTGCGGGTTTGTGCCCCGAACCCGGGGTTCTTGGAGAGATAATTTGCTTAAAATGAGCTGCCTCATCAAATGCTTCTAATTGCTCTTCGAGTTCATCGAGCGCCTCCACGGAATCCTCGATTCTAGCGATAGGTTGTGCGGGTGATCTTGGGACAATGACCTCGACATGTCTATCCTTGTCTCTAACTGAGCTAGGTGAAGCAGGTGTAGATTGTCGGGGTTTATCCTCTGAGGATAGCTCTAGCTCCTTCACCGGTGCAAGGTGATTGCGACTGGGTTCTGTGAGAGCCATATTTGGTCTTGCGGGCTGCTTGTCGTCTGCCAGAACTTCTTCCCCGGGAGCTAAAGGTGACACAAGAGCTATGAAACGTGCAAGGACATCAACCTCGGTCGGACTCCCGCGCGGGGGGGTATCGTCAATAGGCAAGAGATTGAAGCCAAGGTGTACTGCCTTGAAACTTGGCGCAGCGCTGGACTGTGTAATAGAAGTTTCGATGGGTATTCTTGTAGAAATTATTCCTTCAAACCAGCCTTCGCGATGCTTCGCCAATTGTTCTTTGGCTGAGGGTATACCCTTGCGTGCAATTTCTACTAAAGGATGGTCTGAGAATTTCTCGATTGCTAGGAGCGTTAGGTTAGTATACTCCGACGCAAGACATTTTGATACGTGCTGCGGAAATACGTACCTAAAGCAGGGAGTTCGAAGCGATATTGTGTCTCGTTAGAAATACTCGTAGATGCGGATGCGCATGAGCGTAGTGACTCGTCTTCGGGGACAGTTTCAAGGACTTCAAAGGTGTTAGCTGCAATTGCCGGCCTTGTTAGGCGACGTCGACTTTGATTCTTTGGGTTATCACTCCAATTGGCTCCAGTGTTGCAAGTTTCCGTGTCTATTTGAAGCTTCTTCAGACATGTAGTAAGTGACTCAACTGCTGGGTTAGAACAGGTACTTGAGCGATTCTGGAGCTGAGAAACGGAAATATCACAAAGAGTAGAGTTGTCGGATTTGATGCTGTCATGAGAGGAGGGATCATCTTCACTGGAGCTCGTATCACTGAGGATCTCGACTCTCGAGGGAATAACGGCCATCTCGATTGGACGCGATTGGCCAATAATAGATAAGTACCAAAAGTGAGGCAACTGGGGGTGCACGGCTCAGGGGTCTAAGCAAGGGTTTAATGAGACTTATTATTTGGTTCCGGGCCAGTGACCGAAAGCACGGGGTCACTGATGAGCAAAGTGTTGGCGGGGGAGTTATGTCACATGTGTCCCTTGTAGATTAGCAAAAGCTATTGTTACCTTTCTTTCCAATTGGGTAATGTGGGCGAATTAGATTGTTATGCTGTCTGGAGAATGTTGTATGTTGTAGAAGAGACGAATCCTATCTTTAGGATTTTGGACTGCAACATTTTGTTGGTTGATACCTAAGAAATAGCAACAGCAGTACCTAACGCACTTGCCCTCTGGTTTGACTTCCAAAAAGGTTAGGTATAGGTGGTTATTCCTTTTTTTATTGGAAACTTCGTCATTCAATAGTTTAACATGAGCAGGTAGTGCTAGGTATTAACTTTCGAGGTGTAACTGCTTACGTCAGATACTTTTTTTTTTCTATAATAGCGGCTTACTAAGAAACGCAATCTGACGCGGATCTGTACGCGTACTTTATTAATATTAATATATAAAATTTAAGTATTGTATTTTTATGGTAATTAATGGATAAACTGTAAAGTTACAGTAATAAAGTTTAAAACCGTATATTTTAATAAACGTTTTACGATTAAACTATTTAAAAATATAAATGATAATTTTTTAATTTATGTAATAAACGGTTTAAAAAATAACGAATGGTTTTTTTATATAAATGGTTTTTTTTCGGTTTAAACTTAATTACTTGTTTTTTTTTCGTTTATTAAAATTAACGGTTTTTAAACTTTATTAATTATTTAATATTTATTATTTTAATTTAATAAATTAATGTTTTAATAATATTATTAAATTATTTATTAATTAAATTAAATAAATGGTAAATTTTTAATTATAATTTAATTTATAAAAATAAATAATTAAAATTAAATAATCGATATTTACATAAATTATATATTAAAAAAGAATTATATTATATTTTTATTATTATATTTTTTATTTTTTATAAATATAAAATATTAAAAATAATAATAATTTTTTTTTTATAATTTTTTATAATTAAATATTTATAATTATATTATAAATAAAATTTTATATATTATTATAATATTTATATTTAATTTAATAATTTTTATATATTTATATTTTTTAATTTTTATTTATTTTTTATTTATTATTTATTTTATTTATTTTTTATTTACTTTTTATTTACCTTTTATTTACCTTTTATTTACCTTTTATTTACTTTTTATTTACTTTTTATTTACCTTTTATTTATCTTTTATTTACTTTTTATTTATTTTTTATTTAATTATAATTAATTTATTTAAAAAATTAAATTTTAACCTTTTTAATTTTATTTAAAATAATAATAGTTAATAAAATAATAATTTTTTAAATAATAATATAAATTTTATATATTTATATATGAGTAACATTAGTCGTGTAATATGCCCATTGTTACCCGTGCAGTAAAACGGGGTACGTACCGGGTAACTTCAAATCGCTTTTCGCAGTCAACCTTTAATAACTTTACGAATTATGGTCCGAATCTTATATGAATTATACCAAAGTTTCAATAAAAAAATTAGCAAAATTTTAATCTAGGGTGCACGTGATCCGGACCAATATTGGTCCGGATGCGGCTGAAAGTATGAATTTTGACTATAGTGGCTGTTCCAGGCCTCCTTTTAGTGGCTTTTATCCCCTGTAATCCCACCACCTTTCAACCTTGATAACTTTACGAATATAGCCCCGATAAATCTCGAAAAAGTCTTAATATTTAGATAACTAAATGGCTAATATTATAAAAAAGAGCCGAGAATTTTACCTATTTATTTGGTAAAGATACGGCTGTTTCCATATAATACGCTAAAATAAACTAGTAGATACTAGTAAAAAAGTCACTTTGTATACACAAATGCTTACTATTCAAATAGCTCAGCCAATCCGGGCCCGAATCACGTGCACCCTGAATCGTGATTTTGCTGATTTTCTTATCTAAATTATGGTATAAATTATATATAAATCGGATTAGAATTCGTAAAGTTATTAAGGTAAACGTTAAAAGGGGGGGAGAAAAAGCCGGGTACGTACCGCGAATACTGCACGGGTAGCAATGGGCATATTGCACGACTAGTATTGCTCTTATATA